CCCCAAAACCCCAAAACCCCAAAACCCCAAAACCCCAAAACCCCTGATCTTCAAGAAAAAACTGAATAAAATAATTACAGTAAAAATGTTGAGGAAGCATTCGTTAAAATGAATTTTCAAATCCAGAATCACATAAAATATCACTTCAAGATATTAATCAGTCCTAATTTCATTCTTCTATCTATACAACATTAATCCGTAAAGCCTCAAAATTGAAAAATATTAAAATGCTCACTTCTCAAAAATCCCCTTAGAAGACTCCAAAGCCGATATTAAGCTATTATACCCTTAAAATATGAGACTTTACTATTTTGTGAATAAGCCTACTTCCAAGCTACTCCTATTCCTATCTATTTCCTTTATCATCAGCAAGAAAAGTTAGGTACATGAAGTAGGATGGGTGATAGCTATTTTCACTTGAAAATGACTGGTCACCAATTCCTTCCTTCATTTGTAAATCCAGGGATGCATCTTAATATAGATCGTCCAATAAATCCGACGATAATATATCTTGAGCAGATCAATTACTCGAAAGATGGAGAGTATATAAACCAAGAGCTGATATTAAACTTTACAACAATTATTGAACCTAATCATCTAAATCATGATTGACGACTGCTATCAGGATAATCTCCTCATTTATGTCATAATGGTAGAGATTATAGTCATTCTTGAGTTCCCTTCCGTAATAAAGCAGCCTAATTTTCTTTATATCGTCTACATCCTTCAGTTCTGCATATTTTTCCTTAAGCTCCACAACTGTGCTGTGGTCACTAATTTCAATTTCGTCATCATCAAACTTTGAAGCATTCCGAAGGGTTAAAGTTAAGTCTTTTTCGTCATTTGGTGCCTCAATCTGCTCCAATTTTTTCTTTTCCAAATCCTCACCAAATCCAACAGGCTCATTAATAATTGCTGGAGGGAGGACATAGCTCTTGCCTGTCTCGTCATAGCACATTTTCATCCCTAGCCTTGGCTCGGTTTTAATGCCTTTACTTTTAAGGAGTTCTTTAGCTTCGCTTGCTGATAAATCTACAGCTTCTTTTAATACTTCCCAGACCCATTCAGCACCTTCAGCTCTAGTTTCCCAGAACTGGTCTTTCCATTTCTTATATTTATCTTCAGTGAGCTCTACAGTGAAGGCTTCTGTCCTCTTAATGCCTTCTCCAGTCATTGTATCTGGAATAATATTTTCAATTTTATCAAGAGAGCCATAATAAGGAGCCATGTTTGGCTGGTTTCCGACCCCTCTAGCAGGTTGCCTCACAACATCTCTAGGAGGTCTCTGAGGCCTGTGGTTATGAGGCCTGGCACCTCTGGGATTCCTGGCTTCTTCCTGATTCGATGATCAACAACCCATTTCTAAGTTTATTTAAATATTTTATATTTCGATAAAATTTCTTAATTATGGGGTTTTGGGGTTTTGGGGTTTTGGGGTTTTGGGG